AACTGACAGGAGAAGGAATGAAAGGCGGAACACTGGCGCCTCAAAACCAGTTTAGCTTCGGGTTGATGGGGCACGTCAGCCTAAATAACGCAACCCATCTAGGAGAAGGAAAACTGTGACACCAAACCTCCACTCTGTGGCGATACTCCCCCGTGTAGGTATTGGGGCTTGGAAATGACCAAGAGAAATAAATACCCCCCCTGCCTTTCCACTTGCATTTCACTAAGTGAATAATAGTGGACCTTCCCCCCCTCTAAGTGCTTTTTGACGGAGGTGTGAATAATAGTGGACCTTCCCCTCCTCTAGGTGCTTTTTGACGGAGGTCTGGATTGCACTACACCAGACGGAGGTCCTTGTCTCAGTACATTCTAATACTAGATATAAATCTATCATGAAGGGTTTTATTTCTGGATCTGGTGAATGTGATATCGTGAAGGGGCCTGGATCAAGGATGTGACGATTTTACAGAGCATACCCAGGGCACAGTCTACTTTAAACTTTCTACTGCAGAAAAGTTCCATTTGGAGAGCTCTATGGATGGCTGAGAATGGACCATTGGCCAACCCCACCTTGTCCCATGGATATTCCGGTTACAATCTTCAGACCTAGATGTTTCCTTTTATGTCAGTATTGGAGAAAATTGCCAAGACCGAAAACTCCCTTAAAATGCGGGGACGATATATTTATATATTTAAAAAAAAGCCTGAGGAAACACCCAGCCTACACTAAATGCCAAGGAATTTAACGAAAAATCCATACGAGCTCAGACGTCGCCTCGTAAAAGGTCTGCGCATGGCAGTTTCTTCCAGGACTGCCTGTAATAAGTCAGCTACTGGAAATAAAAAACAGACTAGCAGCAAACACCTAAACCTTTTGCAACTCATCATCTTAGGCCTACAAAACAAGACAACAGAACTCTAACACATACTCAAGAAGCATGATATACACATAGCGCTATTGCAAGAAACACTACTGCCCAAGAAAAAAATAAACATCACAGGCTACACACAGTACAGATGCCTTTGCACCAAATGCCAGGGAATTATGACCCTCATAAGAAACAACACACAAGCCACAGTAAAACAAATACAGAACAATACAGACATCGACACGCAGGAAATACTTCTTTGGAGAGGAGGAACAAAGTACACCATCAAAAACTACTATTGCCCACCATCATCAACAGCAGAAACAGACATACAACTACCACACTACACAAGGACAATAATAGCTGGCGACTTCAATGCACACACACCTTCCCTAGGCTACCCACACTACAACAAGCGTGGCAAAGAAATAGAGGATGTAACAAATACCTCTAACCTACAACTTCTGCAAAACAAAACTTCACCTCCAACTTTCCTCCACAGAGCACACAACACAACTAGCAGACCTGACCTAACTTTTATCTCTACAGACATTACAGACTCTTCTAAAATAATAGTACTTGAAGACATAGGTAGTGACCACAGGCCTATACTCCTCAATATTGGAACGCCAGGTAGATACCAATCCAGCAAAACAACTAGATGGAACTATAAAAAAGCTAACTGGGCAGCTTTTTCACAAGAAACAGACACAAGACTATCAAGCATAATTGAGACAGACATCAATTCAACCTACACAACTATAGTCTCAAACATCTTACAAGCAGCAAAAAAACACATCCCTTGAGGGCAAGTTAAGAAATACAAACCTTTTTGGACACCTGAATTAGATAAATTAGTTAAAGAAAGAAACATGGCCAGCAAGACTATAGAAAAAAACCCTACTAGAGAGAACAAGACAACATACAACAAATTGACAGGGCTTATAAGATACAAAATTAAAACAGAAAAAAAGAACAAGTGGACCACAACATGCGAACAACTAGATCTAAACAAGGATGGTCGAAAGGCTTGGACCCTTCTGCACCGGCTAGCAGGAAAGAAACAAATAACAAACCCCCAACCTATAAAAGGCACTGACGACATAATAACAGAAAACCTTAAAAAGGCTGAAACCTTCAATAAATATTTTGCCAGCATTAACAAGTCAAAGTCAAGAAAACAACTGGACCAGGCCTTCAGTAATATCTTAAAGAAAGAAGAAAAAGCTCCAACAGTCAACTGTCAGATCTTTGACACTCTACATGAGCTCAATACTACCCTAAAAAGCCTCAAGTCAAGGAAATCCCCTGGACCCGATAAAATAACAAATGAAATGATTCGGGGACTAGGACCACAGGCCCAAAACTGTATACTTAACTTTATCAACCATACATGGAAAACTGGAGACATACCACAGGAATGGAGAACCGCAAACATAATACCCATTTTAAAGAAAAATAAACCACCTGGAGACCCAAAAAGTTATAGACCAATATCTCTAACATCCAACATTGGCAAAATGGCAGAAAAAATGATCAATAACTGACTTTATTGGTGGCTAGAAAGTACTTGCTCACTCCACAATGCACAAGCTGGCTTCAGGAAAGCAAGTAGAACAGAAGACCACCTCTTTCGTTTTATCCAGGACACAGTAGAAGGGTTTCATGAAAACAAGCACACTACAGCAGTATTTATAGATTTGTAGCAAGCCTATGATAGAGTGTGGAGAAAAGGTCTATTTTTGAAGATGAAAAAAATGGGCATCCATGGAAAAATGTACAGCTGGATCAGGTCATTCTTAAAAAACAGAACCATCCAAAACCGATTCGAAGGTGCCATCTCTAGTAAAAAAAGTTTGGAAGAAGGACTACCACAAGGTTTAGCCCTTAGCTGCACTCTTTCTAATCTTCATGAATGACCTCCCGGACCTCATTTCGGTCAATAAGGCACTTTATGCAGACGACCTTTTAATTTGGACTACAGAGAAATATCCAGTGCTGACTAGATCCAAACTAAATAGAGCCCTCACAACTATCTCCACATATTCAAAATTATGGAAAATGGAAATAAACAAAGAAAAGTCAGTTTATTCAATATTTAGCCACAGCAACAAAACAGCAAAAAGAAACTACATCCTAAAAATAGACTCTCAGCCAATAAATAAAGAAGAAAATCCAACATATCTTGGTGTAAAACTAGACCAAAGACTGTCTCTAAAACACTTTATGGCAGATTTAAAAGAAAAGGCATCACAAAGATTAAACATAATAAAACACCTAGCAGGAACATCCTGGGGAGCTGAAAAGAAAACCTTAAGACAGTTATACACTGGATATGTCAGATCTGTAATGGATAACTTGTCTCTCCATACAAGTAGCTGCCAACAAAACCTATCAATCATCATTAGATACAATCCAAAACCAAGCCTTGCGGCTAATTAGTGGAGGTATGAGAACTACTCCCACAGAAGCCTGTGAATTAGACTCCAATATTGAACCTCTCAAGTTTAGGCGCAACAGAACAGCATTAGAAGCTATTGAGAGATACAGAAGGTTGGAGGATGATCATCCAAATAAACTACTAACACAGAGAAATAGGAAAAACAACCAAAAAAAACAAAGGACTTACTAACTGACAAACTAGCCCTAAAACACCACCTACCCAATAACAGAGAAAAAATTACCAGGTTTTCAAACATTACACCTGGACTAAACTACAAACAACCAACCATCAAAACACATTTACTAAATAACACCTTAACAAAAGAATCAAATCTGCTGGAGATTAAAGTAGGCACCCTTGAAACAATTGAAAGCTATCAAAAAACAGCTATCCATATTTATACAGACGGATCGGCTTTCAAAGCTACCATCAATGCTGATCTTGGTGCCTTCCTGGTCTTCCCTAAAAATAAACACTTTGAGATAAGCGCACCTTGTGGCGATTACTGCTCAAACTTCCAAGCCGAAATTGAGGCAATTACCATAGCACTACAGACAGTGGAAAACAAATTATATGAAGGAGTGCAACCACCATCAGATATTGTTGTCTTTACAGACTCCCAATCTTCTCTGTAAGCACTTTACAGCAGCACCTCAAACAGCCCAAGAGAGTTGACAACACTCATTGTGATAATCCATCAGATGATATCAAAATTAAATATCAATATCACACAACAGTGGATCCCAGGACACATTGGCATCATGGGAAATGAAAAGGCAGATAAGCTATCAAAGGCAGGTTCATCTATGGAACAACCAGATAGACCTGTTAACTACCTCACCCTAAGGTCAATGTTAGTCAACAATCACAAAGAGGAGTGGCTCAACCAATGGGCATCAGGAAACACAGGCAGAGCCATGTACAAAGAAATGACTACGCCTAACAAACTGGACAGTATTAACTTCCTCCCCCGCAAAGAACAATCTACAATCTTCCAACTAAGAACAGGACACACACCACTATTAAATTACCACCTGAACAAAATAAACTCCACACAACTACCCCTTTGCAGACACTGCGCCCACCCCTTTGAAACCATAAACCATATCCTCTTTGAATGCCCCTCCCTAACCCACCTTAGGCAGACCCTACTTCCACTACAGCCCAACATAACCAACACCCTGTATGGCAGTGCTGAACAACTGAAGAAAACAGCACACTTTTTTTCCTTGGCACAGTCTGCAAAAGAGCTCACAGCTCAGCAGCAATAAAGCTGGCTAGAAGAAGAAGAATATGTCAGGAAAGGTCAATTTTAGTCATTGTGTAAATATTGTATTTCTCCAGTTGGACACTGGCGATGTTGAGAAAGCTTTTCAAAACTGCGACCATGTTGAGGAAGGTGACATGCATGTGTCAGCCCAGGAGCACTTTTATCTGGAACCCCAGGGCTGCGTGGTGTACCCAAAGGATGCAGGGGAGATAGAGGTTGTAGCCACCACACAGTCACCCACACAGATGCAGGTTGGTAGAGTCACATCCCTTAATCATAATCTACTTAGTTTAATTTTTCTTTCAAATATTTGTAACTAAATAAGTTTTCATTATCTTGAATGATTTTATTTAAATTGTACAATTTTTTTTTGCTTAGAAATGCCTGGGTAAAGTCTTAGGACTCTCAGCCAATCATATCGCAGTGAAAGTGAAGAGACTGGGTATGACAAACTGTCCTTGTGTTTGGTTTGGCTTTAAAGATGCATTCAATATAAGTGTTACACTCTTAAACGTGGAATTAACCGTTTTAATTTTTTTAAAACTTATTATGAAGAAGTTCAAAGCTTACACAAAAAGATGATTGAAGTACATGTAACATTTTATCAGGTGGAGGTTTTGGTGGTAAGGAAACAAGAACAGCTACATGCTTGCTGCCTGCAGCTGTTGCAGCTGTCAAGTAAGTGGCAATGTAATTTTTAACTGTATCAATTGAAAAAGCATTTATTATATTTCTTTTATTTTCTGCCAGATTGAATTTAATGCTTTTAAATCATCTTTAGTTCAGTTTTATTTTAATCACTGTAATAGTCTCAGGTTGTTCTTGTGTATCACAGAACCAATAAGCCTGTCCGATGTGTGTTGGACAGGGATGAGGACATGTGTTTGACTGGGACGCGGCATCCTGCGTACATCAAATACAAAGTAAGTGACTTATAATTTCATAATCTTGTGTCACTTCTGAAAAAAAGGGTTAATTATTTGTATGCTAAAAATGTTTTGATTATTATAAGCCTAATAATAGCCATCTCTGTGGAGGGAGCTCAAAGAATAGACCTCTCTTGATATCCTGCTAAAAACAGATTCTGAGGGATTTGGTTTACGCTAAGTGTCACGGGACAGATGATGATAATGATGATGATGATGGATAGGATTAAAAAAAAAAAAAAGGTTCTTTAGGTTCATTTTTTGTCAGTTGGTTTGAAGACATTGGGCTCAGAATTAAATGCTAATTTTTTCTGAAATAAATGTCTGCTCTTTTTCAAATTTTTGTTTACTTTTGATTAAAAGATCTAGCTAGTTTTTTTTTTACTCAAGATTAAAAAAATTTTTTTGTTTCCTTGAGCAGCTGACATGCTTTGTAGAAAGTGACTGTCCTAATGGACTTCTATTTAAAAAAAAAATTTGTTAAAATTATTTTAAATTTCCCTTCATGAAAAAAAAAATATTTTAATATTTTTTTTGTGACGAAGTAGATCAATGAAACTCGATGAAACCAACCTTGCATTAATGTTTTAAAATGTCAGAATATTTTTTAAACATTGTTTAGATGTCAATATTTTGAATATCTTTGTATTATAGATTGGTTTCAATAAAGATGGAACAATTGTAGCTATTGATTCTCACCTGTATCTAAATATGGGACACTCCATTGACCTGTCACCTGCGGTAGGTTGAACTTGAATAGTTAGATGTATTGTATTCCAGAGATCTAAATAAAAATATACCGTGTGTATTTAAGTTGTACCTTACCTCTTCAAATCTGTCTGGGATGTGTGGCTAAGAGGCCAAAACTGCTTGGCTATGGTTTGACCACATAACAAGGGGGGTCGAGTTTGAATCCTGACTTCAGCAGAGTTGTGTTTGCTGAGCGCCTAAAGGCAGCATAGAAGCCTTCTCCCAGATACTCTCTGGTCCACAAAAGAGATTGGACCATAGTACACTTAGCATGCTATAAGCATGAAAGATTATATAAAAGCATTTAACAAAAAAAAATATATCTTCTTTATAATTGTTTCTTATGTAGCATTTTATAAAGCTGCAATATCTAATCCCAAGATAAATTCATTATTATACATTTTCAAGATCATCTCTATACTTTATTTCATTTATGGGGTCAACTTTTTTAAAAACCTTTCTACTCAAAGTAAACTTGTAGTCAGTAGATTTACTTGTTTTGTTTTGTACATTTATGGGTGAGGTGTTAGTGATTGCTTTAACTTATTCTTTTGCTAGATGTGCAGTCTAAAGAGCACACAATATTTTTTTAAGCTGCTTTTAAATCACCCCCAAACCATATAATGGCTGGTTTTATCATTCCCCTGAAGTATGCATAGTTGTTGCATTGCTCTTAGCACCAATGATGTATTGGTATCACAAAGCATTTCGTGCATGACAATCAATTTGTCAAGTAGTATAATAATAGAAATAACTCAAAACTTTGGAAATTTTGTTTAACATAAGACTTAGATGCTCTTTTAAATAGAACAGTATTGCCCCTTTAATAAAAGATTAAACCTATTTTTTTAAACCCTCATTTTTTGTTGACAGTATTTGAAAAGAAAAAGTACTTGAGCGCATTAGTCCAGAACATCCATTTTTTCAAACATAATGTGTACACAATAATTTGCTTTAAAATAAAAATGTTATCCTCACTATTTAGGTCTTAGAGACGGCTGTACTTGCTTTGGACAATGCTTACAATACTCCAAACTTCAGAGTTCAAGGTCACTTATGCAAGACCAACTTGACTTCCTGCACAGCATTCAGAGGCTTTGGTGGCCCACAGGCTGTCATTATGGCAGAGAACTGGGTCAGCCATGTAGCAGATGTTCTTCATAAGTCTCCAGAAGAGGTTGGTACTGATTATTGAGATATCTGTTTCCGTTTTTGATTTTAATTGGAATACATTCCAAGACAGATAAACAGCAAATATGGTTAATAAAATTGCTAGGTAATTATGCCACTACAGAAAGAATGAGAACAGGTTACATTCTAACATAATTTTTTGGCCTTCTTCAGTTGTGAAATGACTATGGCTCATCTCATAGAAATGGGATGAAAGACTGGGCTTTAGTTATGATTGAAACAATATCACCCACACAGCAGTTCCCCCTTCTTAGCAGCTGAATTTCCAAAGGACCAGTAGGTACTGGATACTGTCTATGGGTCAGCCATGTTTCAGGTTCTACAAATGTGTAGTACTGTGTACTGCAAGCTGCCTAAGGGTCACGGTCACAGATTCCTGATTTTACCTCACAAAGCTTTTCCTGTTTTGGTTTTCCTTCTCCTCTAACAGAATTTACTGACATCCTAAAACATTTGAGTTCATAGGAATATAAATAAAACAAGTAGATATATTAGTGTCCTATTTGAAATAATTATCCTACAATAAAATAGTTGTATTCTTTGAAAAGGATAATTTATTATTGAAAATGTGACTGGGTGTTTTTTTTGTTTGTTTGTTTACAGGTCAGGGAGAAAAACTTTTATAAAGAAGGGGAGACTATCCCATGTGGCCAGGTCATTACACAATGCAATATACTAAAGTGTTGGCAAGAGTGTATAAAGAACAGTGATTACTACAGAAGGAACGATGCTGTGATACAATACAACAGGTAGGTTATTCAATTTATAGTCAACATAAAGCTTTTCTTTGATTTGCAATATCAGAGGTACATTTGGAAGAGGGTTATCTGATCTTGTCTAACAAATTAGAGGCTTTCTTTCAATGATAATTACACCCTTTGCATATCCATGTCTATATCTAGTGATGCATGTTAACGAGAGACTTAAATTGTACTAAGTAATTGTAAAGAGATGATGTGGGGATTATGGGATAGGAGGAAAGAAAATGGTGTGAGACTTTAAAGGCTCATTTGAATGAATGTACTGCTAATAGAATTTAAAGCGTTAAGCTAAAAGAGTAAATTTTGTGCTTTCCACATATCTTTGTTAACCCTTGGACATAGAAACTGATAATCTTGATATCATCTGTCTAATGCACCACCAGATCTGAAATGGAAAATTTATTTTACCAACTCTCATAATTTTAATGTTTTCTTAAAAACTTTGCAGAGAAAACCGTTGGAAGAAGAAAGGTATAGCCATTACACCTCTCAAGTATGGGCTAGCTTTCTTACTTCAGTCCATGAATCAGGTAGGTGGAGCCAGTTATATCTCATCTTATGGAATGATTGCCTATATAATGAGCCTCTCATTGCAATCATATTTAGCATGCTTGTGCAATCTGGTTTAAATTAAAGAGAAAAGACTCTTTAAAAATGTATTTTTATCACATGCTTTCACTCTCAGAGAAGGAATAATTTTTAAAGCTAATTTGCAGCTATATATAACATAAAACTGTCTTTCTTGTATAACTTGTTTTATGCTAACTTTTACCCACAATGAAGTTTTAAATGCTGTTTTTAAAACTTTTTATTTTGGAACAAAAATATTTTTTTCCACTTTATTATATTTAGTCATTGAATCTATATGCCTATATATACTGTAGCACTAAAATATTTTTTTCCACTTTATTATATTTAGTCATTGAATCTATATGTCTATATATACTGTAGCACAATCTACTGTAGATGAGAGTAAATTCTATTTCTTTGTTTTGTTTTTGTTACAAAAAGGGTGGAGCATTAATACATATCTACACTGATGGCGCCGTTCTTGTATCTCATGGAGGTATAGAGATGGGACAAGGTTTACATACCAAGATGATTCAGGTAGTAACAATAACTTTTTGGTAGGAAAGATAAGTAATTTTTTAAATTTCAGTCTCTTTCAATTTTATTCAATTACTAATAAATGGACTTTACTCAATTCTTTTAATGTTGTAAATTAAGATATTAATGATATTAATTGTAATAAAAAAAGAACAATAATAATCATTATTTTACATTTTAATTGTCAGAGATTTTATCAAAATGCACATTTTCATGCGTGCTTTAGTCCATTAAAAAAATAATTGTTTTATTTAAATATTGTATAACTATTTAAAGAGATCCTCAATCAACCACCGCTAGAGAATGGTTGTGGTAAAATATATAGGTCACAGCTGGGACAGCAAAAGCTTGCTAAATTCTGTACTTCTTAATATTCTTCAAACTCAAAGAAAAGCCTTATTATTATTAGTGTGTCTCATGTCAGCCTTGCACAACACTCTTCATGGCTGGGTGAAAGCAGAAAGTGAAAACACTGGTTTGACAATTAATTTTTCAAAATATAGTCATCTTAAAATTAAAATTTAGCTATTTAGTTATTCTTGCACTCTGCTTAAATATCTTTTGAACAGGCTTCAGTAAAAATGCTGAACTCACCTCAAATGTCTTTTTATTCAGTAAGGAGTTGAATATATAAATAGACAAACATGAACATTTTGTTTACCGTCTTGTGTAGAAATTAGCTGGTTGACTGTAATAGAAGAACCAGATTGTGCAAAGCTCACTGGAAATATTGGTAGTAATGAAGCCATACAAGAAAGACATAGAATGAGAAACTATGGACCACTATCAGCTTCCTAAACGAGGAATTTATTTTTAAAAACATCTTTTTTTTTAATATTACTTTTATATTACTTCTTTTTTGTTTGTTTACAAACCAAAATTTGCTATTAAAAAGT